TGTCGAAAAACGAAGGAAAAAAATTTTTACGCTGATCTGAGGTGATACTGTCATCTACTTGGTGTTAGTTTCTGAAAAATTATCAAACGAGTCAAGATTATTGAGATGTTCACAGATTAGAATATCGTAGAGGATTTAATGAACGTAAAAGTAATTTGAAAACAAAGCAGATTTCAAAATAAGACGATATATTTTTTTCACATGGCGGGAGAGGTTTTGCGATTTGCTTCAAAATTCAGTGAAATGTTTTATGTTTTATTCCTCTTAATATCAATACATATCCTTCCTTAAAGTTCTCGAAGTAATCAGCCAAAAGGTCTACTAAATCATTACCTTCTAAAGGCCTATGTATGCTTGCAATTAATCAATAAATTTTTATACATTAGATGATAAGAAAGAAGAGTTTACTATCATCTGATGTACGAAGAATGTAGCTATAAATCTAGAAAAACGACAAAATGAAATGAGGGCAATTAGATTCGTCTAATACCAAAAACGAAACTCGCAATGGAGAAAGAAAGCTGTTCGAAGGAAAAAATCCGACAATAAAGACTGGAATGCAGAGGATAATGAAAAGACGAAAGAAGAAGAGCTTTTTCCAGAAGTTCTTCAGGCTTCCCTTAATGGACATCGCTAGTTATTGACAGGAAAGGCATGAAGTGAATTGTGAAGTGCTGGCCGGCCACTCTGCGGCGCCAACACGCTTTCTTCGCCAATGAAAAAGAGGGAAAGCACTCGTAAGAACCACTGTCAAGTGTCTTAGTGCATTGCCAATCATGGAATTTCGAATACAAAAATCTATCGACAAAGCTTGGAGCTAGGCTTGTAGACATATTTATTACAATAGGGGATTTCCTTGCTGGTCAACAAAAATATTCTGGATGTTCGTATCAGATATGTCTAATTTTGATTATTGCCAAAGTTGTCGTCAATCGAAACGTATCAGTGCAGAATTTGCTATAAAACAGCCTAAATTACTTCAACTAGTTCATCACTTTAATTATACTAATCCGATCGCTTTTTGCACTGGTTTTTACTTGTAGCGCAAGGATTGATTCATAGCAAAAAGTTAGAGCTTCTTAAGTTCTTAGGAAGTGATATTAATTGCTCCGACAATGATCCCGAGGTTCAGGGAGTGTTTATATGTCAAGCCTGTTGACAAACATTATGCCGGAGTTCAGTCTCGACACCTAACCCCGTAAGTAAATAAAGCCACCCGAGTAGAGCGTGTGAGTTGCCGAAAAATATTGGCGGCTCTTGAAAAGATGACATTCTTACCGGGGAAAAAAGGAACACATGATAAACAGTGCAGAAAGCCATTGCAGTAAGTTTAGGGCTCGGCACGAGGTGGCTTTCTGAAAATGCAAAAACGAAGTCCCCCACAAAATTTCGCATTTTCGCAAAATTTTACGAAGCCCCTTTTAAACCTTATCGAATTATCCAAATCGAATAAAAAAACGAAACATCACTCAAAAAAACCTAATTTTGAACCCATAACAACGCTAACCTCTTTGATTTTTGTCCCAAAAAAGATATCCAGCTTGCTTATAAGCCGTCTGTGCCGAGCCCTGATTAAGTTCACTTTGTCGCCATTCTTACGAATTTAGTCTTCTTCCTTAACACTGTGACTGTTGCGGAAAATAATCACATCTCACAGCTGAAGGAACATTAGCGTATGATTTACTTGTAAATCAGATCCATTTTGATGTAGGAATATTTGAGACGCTCTGGTTTACGAAGACCAGAGACTAATAAAATACCTCTGTTCGCACTACTAACAGAATGAGCAAATGGAACTTTTGCGCGAGTGTTGATTCTACTCCACGCGCCAGGTGTCATTTTCAAGCTTAATAAATACAATCAAATCTTGAACTCTAGCTTTAAGTCAACAAAACAGCGTCGACGTATGAAGCAAATTGTATGATAATAAAATGACAATGATAATGATCGTAGTCTATTTTTCTGGAATAAGATTTTATTATAAATTTGTGATGTCAACTTTGTGTACCATATCGCTATCCCCCAGTGGCATACCCAGGATTTCGGCTCGGGGGGGGGGGGCGACAAAAATTTTTTTTTGGTGAAGGTGCGTGGCGTCAGCCACGCACTCCGAAAATTTTTTTGGTATGCTTCCTGAAATTTTCGGGGGCTCAGGACCCCGAAATTTCAGAAAAAGGGGGCGTGGCGTCAGCCACGCCCCGAAAAAAATCTTTTATAAGGCTAAATTGAATTTTTAAAAATTTTTAAAAATCATTTTAATTACTTACAAGTATAAACAAGTCTTTTGCACATTTTTATAACTCATGTAAGTAACTTTCAAAAATTTCGCGACCCATTCTCGGGGGGGGGGCGCCCCCCCCCCCCGCCCTCCCCCCTCGGTACGCCACTGCTATCCCCATATCTGAATCCGCAAGTCTAGAGCTTACAAATAGGTCGACTAGATGGGTTGAATTGAGTTTGAATCAATGTTTTCGTGACCTATGATATATCATTACAAATCAAATAATCACAGGATTGAGCGAAAGAAAGCATAGCTCGAGTGCACGATACACAGGATTTTCGATCAAGTACGGCTTCTGTTTTGACCAGCCTTCAGTTCAGCTTCCACACAAGAAACCAGGTTAGATTTTCCCTCTTATCTTGACCTTCAAACTGGTATAGTGCCCAAAAAGACTGTTGCTTACTGTAGCTTGGCATGCAATAACACCCAATATAATATTGCTTAGTGGAAAAAAGACGCAAATGTCGCCGAAGTTTGTGACATTTACCTTGTGATTCCTTCTGACTATGACAATTCCAGCGCCTATTTCACTGTCTGCAAGACTGGCAAGTCGAAATGTCAATCGATTCAAGCAGGTGACTTCTGCTTTGCACCTACCGTATCTCAACGGTAACCCACTGGCACAATAAATGATGATGTCATCGTTGCGAAGACCCGGATAAATCATGGTAGGTCTAGATATCAGACGAGGCGCGGTTCGAGTGGAGTTGATTGATGCTTTGTTCACATTTTTCCTCTACGGACCATATGATGATGCGACGCAAATATCATGAAGAGTGAAACACCGTCCTTTTTCATAAATTATGCGCGGTACTGTATGAACGCCTATGGTATTTGATTTATTTATTAGGGTGTTCCACAATTGTTTACCGGTTTTACCCTAAACATTAGCATTTCTCGAAAACTGGCGCCCTTCAAAGTTTACAAATACATGGTCGTATCTCTGTAAGTATGAGCTATGTGATCATGTGCGTGGAAGGAGCTCAGGATGTCTAGGAGCGGAGTTTGCCACTTTACCCCAGTCATTTTTTCTTTATTTCGAGCCATGGAAAAAATACGGAAATAGCACAAATGAATGTGCGACTGTCAAGCATACGCTAGGCGAAAAGGGGGGATTTTCAAGACATTCTGGGACGGAGATGCTATTTTTGAAGGAAAAGTTCGTTTTCGACTGCTATCAAATTTCAGCTCAAAACTTCCGGTGAGTTCAGGGCCCGGCACGAGGTGGGCAAATGACAAGCTGGAAATCGTTTTGGGGCCAAAAAGCAAAGGGGATATCGTTTTTGCGGGATCCGGAGCGGAGCCCCGGAAGAAGATTCCAAGTGCAAGCAAAAGAAGCTGGAATCATGCTTACCTTTTACATCTAATTCATTGGGAGATAGTTTTCATAAACCTTAACACACAGCAAAGTTCGCGCGCGCTACGCCGCGTTGCCGCTAATTGCGGCGTGTGCGACGTCGCATGAGCGATGCCGTTGAATGGCATGATTAGATGATCAGTTCTCAATTCAGGAATAACATATAGCACCAAACTATGTAAGCGAACGAAGAGAGGCTAGTAGAAACAAAGTTTGAAGTATTATGAAAAACTTATGTGAATGGGAGGAGTAACAAGCATTTTTTCCAAAAAATTTGCAAAACTGGTAGATGAAGATGTGAATTCAAATGGTTTGTTTGCAGCGCACAGATGACCATACGGTATGAAACTTGGTAGATACATGAACACAGGCCTGCAGGGCTTAACTCAAAAGTTTCATTGAAAAATTATGTGACTGAAGGTTATGGTAAGCTTTTTTCTGAAAATTTCCCGCTATCAAAGAAATGGAAAAATGGCTCGATTGCAACGCAGAGGTGACGAAATCGCGCGGGACTCGGTGTGTATATGCGCAATAGGACTAAGTAACAAAGTATGAAATATTATGAAATGTGAATGAAGAGCGTTTAACTAATTTCCAAATTAGGTCGGCAGTTGCCGACCTAATGCCCACCTGAGGGGGCAAAACTCTCAATTCACATAATTTTTTCAAAATTTTTACATAAATGTGTTGTGCACCTAAAGTTTGCTATATGTTGAGATTTTGGTTTCGAAACTCCTCCTCTTGTCTTGGTTAGAGCCCAAAATGGCATCAGCAGCCTAGCTTTGTAAGATGGAAAGCGCGTCCCAGGCAATCGATACGCGCGGGAACGGCGTTTCTCATTCCTATGACTGCGTTACTTTAATGTTTTTCATTCTTTGTTTATTCTTTTTCCCGTTTTCTATCTTGATACAGGTGAGAAGTAATTGAAGGAATTTGAGCATTTGGGTACTTTTGAGCGCTTTTAGGCGAAGTGTGGCCGGTGTTCTCGTTGCACAAGCACAAAGCGTCATTTTTGGGCTTAAGGGGTATTCGTGAAAACTAATGGGATCAAAGGGGAATTCGTTTTGGAAAACCCCGTTTGCCCACCTCGTGCCGGGCCCCGGGTGAGTTACGATTTGAGCAGATTCTTCATAGCTATCTTCTAGAGCTTGCTTTGTCCTGTCGAGTGCTTACTCAGGCCACATCAATTGAAGGGAAAATACAGAGAGACGACGGTTAGTAAAAACGATAAAAAATTATGGGACACCTTAATATTTTAAGTTTCACAGTTTGCCATATAAGAAGCTTTTTTTACAACTATCGAGGAGACGTCTTTAACTAGATAATATAATTTATTACAGTAAGTACAGTATACAGTGAAGATTATTTAGGTGCGATGCCTAAGTACTTGCAGATGATGGATAGCATTACTTCATCAGCTCCAGCTCCGACCGAATGTAGTCGGAGATCGCGATGCATCCTGCATACTGGATTGTCCCAAGTGAAGCCATTTCCGCCCCAAAACTAAAATAGAGCATAGTCTTCGCTTCTTCCTGAAGGAATCAAGAATTCACCTGCAAACAACTGTCTGTCACTACTCGTGCCAATCTTCCGGCTTTCAGTTTCGCCATTGAAGCCAGAAGTGTAACGTCATCACCGTTAACTCGCGACAGCACAGCCCTAAGAAGATTATTCTTGACTCGCGGATTGGAAAATTGTTTCTGATTTACCTATACAGAAGTGCTCGCACAGCTTCGAGTTCAGATTGAAGCTCGGCTAATGTGAAGTGGACGGTCTGCAAAGATGAATGAATCAAAGTGCTACCAAATTTTACCGTGTACCTGTTGATTCAAAACTGTGCTTCCGAATATTTTTCGCTCTCTTGCGTATTCAGCTGTGAGAGAAATACATCGTTGCAGTGGTTCAAGCACTAGAAATGATTTGAATTTGGAAATTCGATAATTCAACTCATTCACAACACATACATACAGCAGCAGTGACAAGTCTTTCATCCTGGAACTGTAACATCTGATAGATGAAACCTTGTCCTTCGTCACCGATTATGTTACTAGCAGGCACCTAAATAACAACATTAGGGTTAGGTCAACTAGCACAAAGACCATGGTGAATTGCAAAGGGCCCAGTAATCTCAGAACAAAACAACCCAGAAAATCCCAATGCAAAAACGAATTTCTCCCAGGGCTACGTGCAGAAACTTTGCAAAGTACCAAAGTTAAGAGAAAGTTCATTGCGGGCCTTTGAGTTTTGCAACCTAATTCTAGTTTTTGCATCGTCGCTAGATACTTAAGTGAGGAAAATTATTTAGAGTATACTTCTGCGAGCGGGAGAGGAGGGCAAGTTGATGTTTTTTCTGTCTCTCGCACTCCCCCCCCCCTCTTCCTCACTAGGTCATAGAACGACGTACTGTAGCAATAGGAACAATTCGAAATGCCCGAGTTGTGTAATCGAATCGAGAAGAGCTAAAGAAGCCATCAAGTTGTTGAGTGGGAAGTAAACTCGTTAGACTTTTTCGTTTTTCGCTGGAAAAACCCTAGATTACGCAAAGTATCATACTTGGTATAAATATGAACGAGAAGGCCATCCGTTGCATCATTCAATCATGTACACAAGCTACAGCAATATAAGGGCGTTTCTGTAAGTTTTGATCATAAATTTTCCTTTATTTTTCAAGAATTCCCACATTCTTCTCTCTCCACCTTTTCAAATTTTTCAAGGATTTCTAGAGGCATCAGTGCTAATACTGTTAATACATTTCGGAGGTCTGAAACTCTTTGACAATGCAAGTTGGACTTGCCGAATATTACCCAAAAAATTTTCTTTCAGAAAGGAAATACTGCAGTTTTTGTGTGTGACATGTATATCTCAAGAGAATCTACAACACTTTACAATAGGAAATGGGCAAAAATTTTTGCAAAGAATCACAGACTTTTTCCACGCATAGCCAGATAAGTTGTGCTAAAGTCGACAGACATTTCGGCCCTTTATTCAAAGTTTGAGGTACCTTGTCTACCCTTTCTCTGTGGGTGAGGACACTTACTTATTCTTAGCGGCTTAAGCAAAGTGAGAGATCATACTCTTTCTTGACTTCCGACAAATACGATCTAAAAAATAAAAGATCCGAGTAGATTTCGGAGCGAAATCCGCAAAAGTAACCAAAACTCATTCATCAACGAATTCGCTGTGCACGGAGTACATTTATCAAATGGCCGTACGAACAGCGATGCGTTGCAGGTGAACAAAAACCGGCTTGGAAGTGTTAGCGTTGAGTTACGCGTTCTCATACGGCGCTCAATCGTGCTAATGGTTTTTATCACTATATGCGAATCGTTTTCACTAAAAAGTCATTTGTGGTAAGTTCGATTCATCTAGGGACGGAGGGGTCGCTTTCATGCAGGTGAGTGGAGCTACTGTGAAATGAAAAAATTTGGAAAATGTGAGTAATTGCAATCAATTTTCTGTGCCAGCGCTGTCGATCAGTCAAGATGGAGCGCGTCCTCCCGGGGGTGGCACGGCGCTAGCACGGAGCTGGCACGCGGCATATCTTTATGTAACTGTATATAACTCAGGTATACAATGTTGAGAAAAGCCGAATTTTTGAGAGTGCAAGTGAGATTAAGGAAAGTCTCCATGGATTTGAACCTAACACCAAACCTTTACTTACACTTTTACACCTGCGAACGAGTTTGTTTGGAGTCAAAGATAAGGGATAAATGCAGATCAAAAATGTTGCTAAATAACTGCTTACGGTTGACTACACAAGATAGCGGGGCTTCTTTCAGAACTCTAAAAAATGAATCTATTACGCCATACAACGAAGTTTTACGATTCTTTGAACATGTAAAATTAGAAGAAATTGTTAGCTTGAGGCGATCGTATCAGCGCCCGGCAGGAGGTGGCATTTCAGAATTTTGAAAACGATATCCCCTTTGAAGCCAAAATTTCTTACGACTTCCCCTTTGACCCTATTTTTGACCCCCTAAGTCCCTGACAAACAGATATACACAAATAATAAGATGGGCGGCCTCAGCGCTTATTATAGTAGTACTACCTGGCTTTCCTGGTCCAGCCCGGGTCATCGTTTGGGGGGATGGCCAAAAACCACACTTTGTCCCTCTACCTTTCCGTCCTTTTGGGCCATATTCTCCACCCCTTTTCTGCAATATCAATACTGCACTGCAGCCCTCCCCCTTACCCTCCTGCACGAGCTTACCTCAGAAAGGCTTATTGGAGTGACTGCACCTTCCAATTTTAAAGTGGAAATGAACTTCACTGCATTGTTCACACCAAAATGTGCAAGCAGTTTGTTAGCGGCTGGTAAGTGTTCACTTTCCTTGCAAGGTGCCAAAAATCATTGAGATAGAAGAATTCCACGAATTGCTTCGAAGGGTAGCTTAAAACCATCTACCGAGGCCGAAAACATATGTTTTCAAGGTTTCAGCTCAATGGGTTCATCCGCAAAGGAATCTATAAAAAACATAGGGTCAAGATTTGCACAAACTTTGACGTTTATATATCTAAGATACTACTCATTTATTAGTCAGCTGCGAAACTTTACAATTTACAATAACCGATTGCGATTGGAGCGCGCTTTCCGAGGCCGATCATAACGCTGTGAACCCTATTTGGGGCTGTATCGAAGCGGTGCCTTGGTGGTTTTGGAAGCGGATTTAAACATATAGTAATACTCTCGACCTAGTCCACATTTATGTAAAGAAATCCGGGAAATTATGTGAAGGGAAGCAGGGAGCCACCCCAGGTTGCTCCCAGGTGGCGCGGGAGCCACCTAATTTTGAAAAACACTTACCATTTTTCAAATTCACATAAGTTTCTCATAATTATTCATACTTTTTTTGTGCTGATGGTCCTCCAACTAATTTGGTGAATTGAAATTTGGTGCCATATCGTTACTTGTGCATTGAAAACGAGCCTATTTTGTTATTTTCCTCTTACAAGAATTGCGATTTGAATTCCCGCCTGCGGGCAGGCTAGCGATCGGAGCACAGAATCTTCACATTGCTGGAATCTAAGTTCGTAGGACAGTAGCATCAACAAGGAATGATGAATAAAGGATGATATGTTGTTTATCGGTAAGGACCCCAAAATACGACTTCCCCTTTGCTTTTTCGGGCCAAAAACGATATCCAGCTTGTGAAAGCGCCACCCCCGCCGGGCCCTGGACCGTATAGGAGGGGCTAAGATGAGGATAGGGTTAGATTGCAATCAATTAACAGAATTCCTAATCAATAAAAAATAATGATGCCGCTCAATTAATTTGTGAGAACTATTCGCTGTGCCCCTAATTATCTTGCGGACACAAACTTTAATTTGGTGGGAATCCTTCTTCTAGTAGGCTTACGTATATCAAGGAACACATACCCTAACATTGTCGAAGAAGATTTCCGCTGTATCGGAACAGTGCATGCCCAACTTTTTCAGATTCGCTGAACGATGAACTCCTAAAAGTTGGCGGATCTCCTGGATTTGTCATCTATCGTAAAAACATCGAACTCGCACCTGGTTCATTTAGTCTTACGCAAACCAGGCTTTTGTTTCGATGAGGCGACGAGTTCTTGTTCGTATTCACGAGGACACAAGCCCAATCGGCCTCAAAATCACAAGATCAAATAATGGATACCTTCAAATGATAGTAAAATTGTACCTGTGCGCCATTTGTGATCCACATTTTGTGACCGTTAATTATGAGATCAGAACCGTTTCTTAAAGCGTACGTTCGAATCGCTAGAAAGTCTTAGTTTTATAAAGGTAAACAATTTGAAGAGGTACAGTAATTTTTACCGGCGACATCACTACCCGCTTCGGGTTCGCTTACAGCAATGCATGCAACCATATCCCCACTCACTGACGGGGATAAAAACTCGGCTTTTAGAGAATTGCTCCCGAATTCCGCCAGTGCTGGTGTAGCCATATGGGTCTTCAGTAAAATCAGTTTGGTACGATTAGGCTGTTTAATTGATTTTCTCACCTGCACACAAACAGCCATAGGGATAGCGGCACATTCTATTGAGCCTAACTCTTCGGCTACGGCGATTGAATAAGAGAAGTCCATTCCCAGTCCACCAAAGGCTGAAAAATTTGCGATTTCGAAAACAATTCCATCAGGGTGTTCCAAATGCTCACCCACAGGTTTACTGATAGCCAGCACTCCCATGTTTCCTAATTGTTTGAATACGGTATGAGCTGGAAATTGATGCGCGTCCTCCCATCTGTCCACATGGGGATTGATTTTGCGTTGGATTAACTAAAAATAGCTTATTATGTTGAACATTGAATGAGAATCTAAGCAGTCAGTTTTTGGAGAAAGGAGGTGCTGAGATCATAGGCAATCTCTCTTAAGGGTCGTGTTGAACATTGTTTGAAACTGTTGGATTCTTCTATTTCTCGTACTCTTTTCTTCTCTTTCACGTATTTAGCAAGAAAATGGTAGAATCTTTTTTCTTTTCATGCTGTTGAGATTCCACATAACTTCTTTCTGTGAGCGGAGCTCTCTCCAGCATTTCCAAACAGTAAAAGTCTAAGATAAATTTTGATGAGAAATAAATTTGATCGATTCCTTCCACGAAATCCTTTCGATCGACACAGAAACAAGGGGATAGATGTGTTCTCATTGGCTTGAAAAATTCACATAGTAATTGTTCTTGCAGGTTTTGTTGAAAAAAAAAACCGTTTGCGTAAGAATGTGGAAGATGATATCCACTGATAAAATAAGAAACAGTCTTTATCGAGGGTATTTGGGTGTAAGATTACCGCAAAGATGAATAAATAGCTGCAACTGACTCAATGCGCATGAGCTGGATTGGCTATGGATCCTTTACACCACCCATACGGTGAATTTCAAGTGAATCAAAAGAATACTTACCTTGCGCAGCTCTTTGCGAATTTCCATATGCTTTTCCGTATACAACATATGATGCTTTATCGGCAAAGCACGGGTGCCAACCCGTATGCTAGCGGTAGACATTTGTGGGCTCTGTCTAAATTCAAATTAACATAGACTAGAATTTAACCTCTTTCACACGATGAATACGACGTGCTAAGCCTGTTGAGTTGAAACACTTGATGTTTGCGTACTACATTGTTGTCAACAGCAAACTCTACTCTGACTTCGAATTACATTGGAAAATTGAAACCAAAAATAATTCCAGAAATTCGCTGATCAATAATGGGCTTCAAATGGATCTTATTGTTAGAATCCGTCGCAATATTGCGTTGTTCCATAAGTCTTGCATCAAAAATATAAAGCGTCGTTGCGAGTTTGAAAAACGTTTGGATCGGTACTTTTTTGCAGCACATAATAAATCTATTTTAGTGCGTAAAATCTTGTGAACCTTGAAAATCTTTTTGAAGAATTCCAACTTGCACAATATTTGAAAGCGGTAAATTGTCAAACTACTCCTCAACTTCTCTCAAAATTTAGCTACCAAAAGCTCAAAAAATACGTTTAATATTTTAATTCATCGGCTTGTGTCTCCGTGACTTGAGAGATTTTTTGATAAAGCACCATTTCAACGATTGTTCCTTCAACTTTTATTGAAATGGATAATGTTAGCGAAACTAGAGGTGCGATTTCTTGAATTCTGGTGCAAGACTCATGGATCAGCTTACTAAAACGTGGAAGCGGATGAATTTTCTTTGGCAGGAATCTAAAAATTTGTAAAGCGGATAAATCTTCGGTATCCTCTAGATCAATGAAGAGAAGTTCAGGAACACATGTGATATGCCAGAAAAAGTGGAAAGGATATCTGGAAACGGAACAAGTAAAGCATTCATATACGGTAGCGCAGTGCCCTGAAAGAAACAAATGCGTGTTGTCAGAATGAATTGTCAGAATAACAAGAGCGGGCTCGGCTAGACGCTAGCAACAAGGGTTGCGCGATTAGCCAACCAGCCAAACTGGCTTCAGCGAATGTATGGATGTCTAGGGGAATGTGTCGAAGGCAATTTATCGGCCAAAGCAGATCCATGTAGTAGCAGTGATCGATTTAGAAACTTGGTGTTCGAAAAAATAGACAATATGTGCTCAATTTATAGTGAATAATGTCATATACAATAAGAGCGTCGTAGGATCAAGGAGTGGTTCAACATCGTCTGCCAAATATCAAATATTGAAGTTTTGAAATGAAAAGAAAATTATCTTAACGCTATTCCGTTCACATCTGAGTTCATTCCTTGGTTCACCTCAAAGAATAGAAGCAGATAAATACTTTTGTTTCAAAAGACTTCGAATGCTTTGTTTTCGCTAAGCTGAACGCCTACATTTGGATTTTGCAGAAAGCGAAGGAAAACTGGTGAAGCACACTGGTCAAGGTGAAGTGACTTCAATCTTACTCGGTGAGTCTCCCAGCCAAGGTTTGACCAATTAAAAACGAGTTGGCTTGGATGAGTGGACTTGAACCACAAAAGATTGCTGCGTGAAAGTGCGAAAAGAACCGGATACACTGGATGAAGCGATGACATTTCCAGATCCCTAAAGATTCAATGTTCATATTACGAGATGAGACGTAACATTTGGAGGATATGCGCTATTCGGAAAAGGTGACAGCGCTTCAGAGCTTGATCGTTTGTCATATCTCGAGTTCAGCCTCTCTTCAAAATTAGCTTCATGGGCTGTTTATGTAGAAATGAGTTGGAAAATTGGAAAATAACTACACGTTTTGTGCTTACTACATGTATATCAGTGCTGAGCATAAAGCTTGTGATTCAATAAATAATTTGATGGAATCATGCTGTAAACAGGAAACTGTAGGGCGAAATGCAAACATTTAGGCACCTAGTGGCAGGAGAACAGCTACAACGTAAGAAGAATGGTCCGGTCATCTTTACAGAAGATTATCTTGTTGCGCCATGCCAATCATAAGTAGAACTTCAATCAAAGGAGGGGTCAACGCCAAGTTTCGAAAAAAATTTTTTGACATATCTTTAGCCCTTCGACATGCTTTTGGAACTGTAGAAAATGTTATACTTGTGTTAGGTTTCTTGTTCACTTGCCAGCGGTTGTGTTGGTTGAAAACGAGATATCAAAATATCTTTATCTTCAAATTACCTACTCCAATAGGTAAGGCTTCTTTCTCGCCCTAGGGTAACATTAATAACCTCTGCAAACTAGGCTTTTTTTTATACGCACGGATATCTGATAAAGTAAACTTCTCATAACATTTTGCAATGGAAATGAAACATAGATTGCAAGATAAGCGATATGCTGCGAAGCTGAACTTGAGACTATACAAATCGATGATGATAGTGCATCACAAATACTTGACTTAACAAATAAAAGATGAACAAATACATTTAAATACTTGTCAAAGAATATACAAATCATACAAATATACAAATAAATGCATAACAAATAAGTGATCAAAGGCAGTATTTACTACTTACATTGGGTCGTTGTCGACAGAAGCTTTGATTTTATCTAGTCATTTGCATCGAACTTTTCAATCAAACTACATTTTGAAACTTCAGTTCAATTCGAAAAGAGGCATTGGGACTCATTTTAGCCTACCATTCAAGATTTTTGTAGAAGCCAGATGCGAAAGTTTGTAAATGGACTAAGATAGCGTTTACTTTGGCCCATTCTTACAGGTGTTATCGCTGTTGTTGTTGCTACGTCATTACGGATGTTACCGGTATTGAAGTGTTACCGGCGTCGTATGCTTAATCTTTTTTCTCATTCTCGGCCATCAAAGTATTAGGCTGTTCACTAAGTTTTGCAACTGAGTCCGTAACTTTCGCTTCTTGATATTGGCGAGCTCAAATTTTGACATTGTTTAGATTGTCGTGTGGGCTATAGACTGACACAAGCCGCTCGCTTTCTGATGATAAAATAGAAAAAAAATCCGAGTTTTTCGAAAACTGGTGAAATTCAAGGATTTATGAGGTTTCAAGTGAAAATGAAGCCGTTCTTAACCTAGATCACTCATAACAATCGAAAGTGTGCATACATTATTGCTAAAGGTTGACTCATCCAGCGCAGTAAGTATGCAAAGCTGCTTAGCGACAAGCTTCAATCACTAGGATTCAAAGTTTCAGAAGTCACCAAAACTTTGCATGATGAGCTTATTTGCCCTGCCGAATAATATAGTATTCATGCATCATTAACGCCTCTTTTCTTGTTTAGCGTGGGACCCACTGTAAACCTACCGTGATCTCGCAAAAAGCTCCTACGATGCAAAACCAAAATCGTTTTCGTGATCAGCATGTCATATAACCCATCTACGCAAAGTTTCAGTCAATTTTTTGATAATCTGTAATTTTCTTACACCATATAACTACCGTAACTCCCGCTGCAATGTCAGAATTTTGCGGAACTGTGGCTGCACTTGTAGCTTACGTCACAACCTACATGAGGGTAAAATTTGAGTGCGTCTTATGCAAAGTGAGAGAAGCTATGAAAGTAGTTGCAAAACTTTGTGAACAGTCTAATATTTCGTTTTTGCAACCTTAAGTTGAAGTTATATCTTTATGATAACCAGCCGTTTTACTCAAAACAGTACCATTATTTTCAGCACAACTCTGGCATGCCTCTTATAATGTTTGTATTCTTCTTTCATGTAACAAGATCTCATAAAAATTGAAAAATCCTAAAAACGAGTTTCTGACTTGGTTTTTAGGCAATCTTGACTATCGATTAAACCCTATTACTTTTCTGAAATGTTTGAAGGAGTTGAGTAAATGGTATTTAGTAGAGGAAGATTCGGAGAGGTCGAGAAATAAGTAGTGATCCAATGCGCAGCGCATTTAATTTTTCGATTTTTTGCGAGCAACTTTCCTCAGTGGGGTTCAACGACAACCTGGACGAAAATGGCACCTTCTATGTTACGTAGATGTATGTTCTGCTTATTTGAGATTATGATAAATCTACAGCTCGTTATTGGTCTACCTTGATTTAACTGCACAGTCTGCATCTTACAAGGCCATGCCTCGTTTAAGTCACCCAGCATCTTTTTGGAAATGCTGTTTATTTTTGGCCATAGTTTCACTGCTTGTTTCATATTATTTATCACTATGTCGCCTCTTGTGATCGTAACCAATGGATCTTTTATCAGTCTAAGTAGAAAAAGGCTTGGTTTTCGCAATTATTAGGTTGATGTAAAAGAAATGGCCGATTTTTCAAGCTTTTTTCACGGCAACTTTTTTCCATCAATACTTCTTCTTTACAATGGATTTAGTATATTATCGCAAAGCTGTTTTCATGCTCTATCTAACAGTGCTTAAAACGGGCTCTCATCCTCATCAGTTATAAAGTTACTGAGCTTCAAATAACCGCATCCAAATTCAGAATTTCATTGCATTTACTTTTCCGGCCAGAATTCAAGCGTGTGTCAATGAGATTTCTTCGAAAATTTAGCTATTGTATGTAATAGAAATTTTCTATACTATGTATACTTAACTGCATTTTTTGAAGTTATCCAGACTGAGATATCGGCGCCTAAACATGGGTAGCTGTTGCGGTCATTTTATGACCCATAATTTTCTTCTGAAGATGTCAGTCGCCGAAGCTTTGCTCAATTCTGTAAGCGTAGAGATAGGACATTTATTAGCAGTTTTTGCAAAAACATCCAGCTGTTCAGTACGTAGAGAATCAGAAAATTCTATATTTCGGACTTTGAGGCACACTGAAAAAATGTTGAAAAAAACTGAGAAATAAAATTTCAATTTTTTTCTTTCTCGCAAACTTTTTTGTCCGAATTCTATTACTGTATTTTGTACTACTGGCTTGCGGCTACAAGATAGGCCACTTGCCATTCTTACTTAGAAACTTTGAAGGAAGTTATGAATTGTCAAAAACAAGGTTCCCGCAGAAGAACCTTTTTTGTCTTTTAATCCGTATTTCTCTTCCGTTTAGGTTTGAGTATAAATAAGTATGCGCTGTATTGCAAACGTTTTGCTGCTTCTGGGGGTCTTTGCCGCATTCAGAAATGTGGATCTTTCAGAAAGTTACAGCACGTCAAAGGGAGAATT